CCCCCCCACCCCAACCTTTTTTTTTCCTCCTCCTCAACCAAAACTCCTCGGTGTTCCCAATAAAAAAATTGTTTAGTATTCCTCAGTCTTAAAAAGTTTAAGAAACACTACTTTAAACAATGCTATGTTGTCTTTTAGCTAAGACGACATAAATGACGTCATTTTTAATAACATGGCTGCCATCTGCACTGAACTTAGAAATATTATTGAATTAAAAAACTTGTATATGAAAATTATTCAAAACTCCTCGGTGTTCCCAATAAAAAAATTGTTTAGTATTCCTCAGTCTTAAAAAGTTTAAGAAACACTACTTTAAACAATGCTATGTTGTCTTTTAGCTAAGACGACATAAATGACGTCATTTTTAATAACATGGCTGCCATCTGCACTGAACTTAGAAATATTATTGAATTAAAAAACTTGTATATGAAAATTATTCTTATCTTATGAATTTTTAGAATTTCTGACAAGCAAGATGGGTACCACTTTTAAAAGCACACACAGCATACAGATAGTTCTAAAGAGTTACTTAACATTTGAATATACAGAAACTCAGGTCAAACACTCTTGCACAGATCACTTAAGTTTAGAGATTTCATATTAAGGTGAAAATGGATACCAGGATTCTGGATTTGCTCTTAGTAATAGTAGTAACATCTTTAATTACTAGTTTAAGTTAGCAACAGCATTAGGTACTCTAAGTAACAAAAGTGGTTTAATAAGCTCCTAATAATGACTCTAAATCTTGATTAGGTAACACATTCTCTTAGGAATATGTAAGAATATTTTTCCTACCTTTAGGTGCCACCTGTAGAAATTGCTTATGCAGTGTGCTAAGCTGTGAAATAGTCAGAGTACCATTTACAGATGTCTCTACAGGTGGAGGCCGTGGTGGTGGGATAGGATCTGGAATTACTTTTACATCATTGTTTATGAAGAAGTCTGTCTCATCTAAAACCAGTTCATATGGGATTTTGGTAGAACATTCAATGTGGTGGCGTGCAATCTCAGTTAATTTGTCAACACTAAAAAATTGAAATGCAGGAAGTAATTATTACTTTAAATTGTAAGAGTAGTAAGAGAGTCAAATTCTGAAATATTTAATCAATGAGAGATTTTCTCTATTGAGCCCACAAATCCTCCCTGTGGCTCATAGGTAGGGAAGTCAACAGGAGAGGTCATTTGTCCCTGCATGGATACCTGGATCTTTGGAGCACATTCTACAGAGCAAGGAATAGTATTACTGTGGAGGCATAAGTACTTAGATATCTCAGTGGGAAGGGTCTGATCTGCATACAGAAGATCCCCTTCTACATGAGAGTCAGGGCATCATGATTAGACTCAAATCTGTATACTTCTTGGACAATGGAGACTAATTTGTGTTATAAAGCAGGTTCTCATATTTTTATGATCTTTAAAATAACTTCCATCAACTGCTTTACAGACTGAGTGTTTTTTTTTTTTTTTTTTTTTTAAATAGAGGAGGATTCTGGAATGGCAAAAGCATAGCAAACAAGATTCTAAATTTTCAAGATGGCAGGAGCCACAACTTGATATTGTGGTTTCCAATGAACAAAATTTTGGGCTCTCTACTGATATTCATAAGCCTAACTACTTGCTGAAGGGAAAAAGAAAAAAATAGTGTAAAATATTGCTGACTACTCTGTTTAACTTTCCAAAGCATGTAGCACTATCATGCATATTTCATAAGGTACGATCAAGTTCCAAGTCCTGAGAATAAAATTAGCAAGCAAAATTAATTTTTGTACATTTAAGCAAATAATTTGCTTAGGTATCCTGTCTGAACAATTATTTTTACCAGCTTTACTATAAGTTTCTATTCTATTAAGATACCAGATGTATATAAAAATTAGCCATGTATTACCTGGACATTTCTGCTAGGAACCTGGCTCCAAGCCACTTTTCCATATATTTGTAAGTTTCTTCTGCTTTCATTGCTAGCTCTTCAACAAATGCTAATGCCTTTGTCTTTATAAGCTGTAGTCGAGATTTTGCAGCTTCCTCTGTGGAGACAGTTATTTCAGAATAATGATATATTTATACAATCCGAACCCTACTCTCAAGCTTTAGGCACCTAAAGTTAAACACCATAACTTGCAGTCAGACATTAAAACACCTCTTTAGGTTTCCTGTGTTCACATATTGCTTTGTATTTTTTTAATTCATGCAGATTGCAGAATTTGTTTTACAAAAAATAGCTACAGTGGACATCAGAATGGATATATCAATTACAAGGATATAGCAATGTTAACCAAACTGAGGTAGAAGGAAGAGGTGATAAGAAAACATTAATTCAGAGAGTACCCTCTGACAAGTTTTAGACATAGTAACTCAATGATGAAAAAACAGAGTGTCCCCTGGGGATGATTTCAAAACAGTTCCCTGAGAACTTGAAAGTATAATGTAGATATTTTACAGAGGAAGTGTTGATTTTAACAATTATATTGATAATAGTTAGGTAATAAAATCTAAAAACTTTCTAGGAAAAGATCATTCCTTTGTCAGATTTTTTCAACAGGGGGAAAAAAAAAAATCAAATCTCAAATGATACAAACTTTTTGATAATCATAGCAAATGTTTGTTCTATTGTTCCAAATGCAGAGGTCATTCAAATTAATGGGAATCTTAACACTGACTTCAACTGTTTTGTATTTCTTGTACTTCTTGTTACAACTCCCTCTTTGTGAAAATGGGTGGTTTAGTAAGGAAAAGTGGTTGCCTACCTTTTGGTAACTGTTGTTCTTCAAGATATATTGCTTATGTCCATTCATCCTAGATGTGTGCATGCCCATGTTGGAGATGTTTGCCTTAGCAGTATCCATGGGGTCGGCTGTGGCTCCCCTAAGAGTGCCATGCTTGTGTGCTGGTATATTAGACCACCAACCCTATGCCCAGATAGCCACTGTACAGATTTCTTGTGTAGGTAGTTGGCCTAGCAAAAGGTGCTGAAGAAGCTTGGGCGTTAGTTGAATGGATGGTTAAAATAGTTGGAGGAGGCACCTTTGCCTGATCATAGCAGCATCAAATTCAGGCAGTAATCCAAAAAGAAATTATTTGAGTGGACACGGCAAGGATAACCTTTTATCCTGTAACAAACAATTGTGTTGTCTTGAGGAACAGCTTGGTCCTTTCAGTGCAGAAAAAAGTACCAACCTGATATCTAGGGAATACAACCTATGCTCCTCTTCTGACTTACGTGGCTTTGGGGGGGAAAAAAAAAAAAAGACAGGTAAGGAAATGTCATGGCCTGTATGAAACTGTGAGGCCATCTTCATCAAGAAAGCCAGGTGTGGACTTCATCTTTATAAAAGACTATATAGGGCAGTTCTGAGATAGACACCCTAATCTCAGAGATCCAGCAGGCAGATGTGTTTCAACAAAGGTCAATTTTCCTGGAAAGAAGGAGAGAGCAGAAAGTCACAGTCTTAAAGGGTGGGGTCCCATGAGCTACTGAAGCAAGAGATTTAGATCTCATGAAGGAACAGGGTCTCTGATGTGAGGAGAGAGACACTTGAGCCCTTTAGGAACATGGCAGTCACGTCCAGGGCAAAAACAGACAGCCTCAAGCAGTGGATGGAAAGCCAAGAGGACCTTGATGGATGAAAGAGACATGCCTTGGAGCCTGAGATCAGAAGATAGTCCAGGATTAACTGCAGCAAGGCCTGCTTGGGCCAAATGTCTTTATCCAAGGTCCAACAAGTGAACTGCTTCCATTTGGTCAAGAAAGTCGCACTGGTGGAGGACTTTCTGCTACCCAAGAGAACAGCAGTGTTGGACACTGGCTGAGCACTGGTGCTCCTCTTTGTATAACCATGCAACAGCCAAGCTATTGGCTACAGTGCCACCAGGTTCAGATACAAAAGACTGCTGTGGTTTTGAGATACAGTTACTGCTCAGGCCAGACCTGCTAACAGAGGAGCCATGGAGAAATCATGGGTAGTGCTGGTAAGGACACCCACACTGTCCCTGTCTGGGACACACACCGATGCCAACCACACCTACAGGCACTATGAGGATCACCTTTGCCCTTTCCTGCTTGATCTTCATAAGGAACCCATGAATTAACTGTATTTGGTGAGGAAGATGTACAGAGCCTCTGATCATGGGAGCAGAAAAGTATCTTATAGGGAGCCTCTATTCATTGCTCAAATTGAGGAAAACACATGCTATTGTCTGTTCTGCCTCATCACAACCAAATCCATTTGGGGGGGTCCCCCATGTCTGAAAGATGATGCTGATGCCTCTTCTGGATGGGGGCACCACTTATGGCTAGATGAGAAGGTCCCGTTGAAGAGACCACATAGTATTCCTGGCCATAAGGAGATGTGTGGCTACAAGATGGATGTCGTGTCACAGAATTCCAAGAGCCCAAAAGCTTTGTGGCAAAGGGCAGTTAATCTGGCTCTGACATGCTTGCTGATCTAGAACATAGCCACTGTATTATCTGTCAGAATCTGGACTACACTGCTTTCCATATGAGGTAGGAAAGATTGGCCAGAAGAACCACAGCAAGCTTCCTTACTTTGATGTGTAGCAAGTGATCGTGACTTGACCAATGACCTTGTGTGCTGAGATTGCCCAGTTGGGTTCCCCAGTCCAGGTCCAAGGCATCAGAGATGAGGGTCGGAACTGTGAAGGAAATCCCATCAACACCAGTAGAGGATTTTGCCACCATGTGAGTGATGTAGTCCAGAACCCTGACCACCCACACTGTCCCTGTCTGGGACACACACCGATGCCAACCACACCTACAGGATCTAGAAGCACAATAATACATGCCAGAGCATGTAAAGGTAAGCCACCAGATGGCTTAACAATTGCAGGCACGTGTGACTGGTGGTGAGAGAGTGGACTTGCATGAACAAGATTAGATCCTCCGTAGCTTGGAACCAAGCTCTGGACTGTGTAGTTTTGAGGACTGCTCCAACAAACTCTATGCACTGCACTGGAATTAAGGTTGACTTTTTACATTTTTATCAGCCCTAGACAGTGTTCCCTCTAAGCTACATGGCAGCACAGCTTCATAGGTGACTAATCAGCTCCAGCCAGTCAGTCAGTCAGCACCATGCATGGAGCCCTGAGCCTCTGACTGGCGGGGGCTGATTAGTCACCTGTGAAGCTGTGCAGATTAGAGGGAACACTGGCCCCAGGTTGTGACAGGTGGAGCAAACCAGGTTGAAGTGATGCTGCACCTGATCCTGGGATCAGCCCTTTATTATTCAGTATGGCAAAGCTCTGGCCGTACCCCATGGATCTCATACTACTGGTGGATAATATTAGCCTTAGACACTCACTGTGGCCCTTCACACAACCCCTTTCTCTTTACATGAGGCAGGGTCCACAGCTTTTTGAGCCATATTCATCACAGGCTGGTTCATGATTTTGGGGTGCAGATCCCTCAATAGTCCTTGTCTCCTCTCTGTGTTGGTGTGAGGCAAGATGGGAGGGATCCTGGGCCCACCCACTACTCCAGGTTTCAGCCCAGGGACCCTAATATAGCAGCAACAGTCAGGGTTGTATATACTTCTGAACCAGCAGCTTTTTCCCTGGGCCACTTCCCCAAACAACCCCTCCAAGTGTCTCCCTCTGGTACCTGCTAGTCAGTCCTCAGCTCACACACAGCTTCTTCTTGTTCCACCCTTTCTCCTTCCAGTCCATCACTCTTTGTCTTCCTACTCTCCTTACCTGAAGGAAACCTTTTAAAGCAGTGCCCTAGCTTTAATTGGCTGCATGTGTTTAATGACTTGCCTGAGGGAGCGAGCTAATTAACTACCCCCAGGTGTTTATCTTCATTTCATGACAGCAGACTCTAGGAAAGGGGTCAGCAACCTTTCTGAAGTGGTGTGCCAAGATTTAACCCTCCTGATCTGGGCTGCACTGCTCTCCCAGGATGGGCAAAAGGGCTCTCTCCACCGTGCACCCCGCTTAGTCTTCTGCTCTGGGCTCTGCTCTGGCTTTTCCTGTGGAAAGGGGAGGGAGCACTATGTGCACATTTCCCCAG